AAGCGGTTTTTGTAAGAAAACTTCACATCAAATTTTATAACTTATAAAAATATTCATTTCATTAGTCATAACTGAGCGACAAATAAATCTTGGCAATATGCAGACGTTTGTACATTGGTTTTATTCATTTTATTGCATATGACAATTTATCGTCAGAATGTTTTGAATGGCTGGATTTTTTTTCTGGTAATCATCATTTATTTCAAGCTTTATTTCAACTTGGAGCAAGATAAGAGGAAATTATAATAAATTTTCTTTTAATATTTTGAGATGTTAATTTTGTAGGACTTACTTAATATTATATCCATTACATATTATCCTTATTCAAGTCTTGCAGTACTTTATTTTGAATTTAAATTTAATTTGAATACATTATTTTTTTAATTTAAATAATAGTGGAGCTTTTACAGGTTTGATCTTAATAATAATTTCAAGATTTATTAAAAAAATTTAATAAACAGATCCAAAATACAGCTGTATAATTATACAACTTGCAACAAACGCAAAAATTTTCAAAACGGTTCAATAGCTATATTTAGGTATATAAGTATTTTGCAGTTTAAAGTGAAAAAAAGTATATAACATTGAGAAATATGCATAAAAGTTTAAATGACCTTTAAATGCAGACAGACACTAACAAACAGTGCGTTTTAATTTCCATTTTAAAACAAATATTTATGAAACCCATCAAGATTATTTTTTCCTCAATACTTGAAAAACGTACTGCATTTTTTACAGAATATATTCCAAAATTGTGCTCTTAAGTTATGTTTTCAGTTCAAGTCTATTACGCAAGAGAATACATGGCTGTTGAACAAAGAAATGGATGTAAACGGGTTTCACGTATCAGAAATGATCCCGAATGGGAGTCGCTGAACCGGAAATGAGCTTTGACGTCTTACGCTCAAGAAATACATTGATAGTTTGTCAAAATATAAACAAAGCCATATCAAATAAATGTAAATCAAATAAAATAAACGAAAAAATAAAATATTTCTACAATTTCGTACTGAAGTATATAATACTTGGCGCTAAACCCACCTCTAAACAATTATAGAAATGCTGCTTATGTTCATAAAACTTGTGACTTACATATACTGTATCAAATATACTACACTAAATACTTATTCATGTATTCAATCTGCTTTATATTTATTTCCATATTCACCTGTATCAAATAAAGTAGAGCAGATGTTAAATGTGTAGTTAAAAATTAAAATAAAATTATAAATTAGGTTAATTTGTTAATTAATTGTATTGATAATTTGAAAAATAAATTAAAGATCTTAGGCTACATTGAATGGCAACAATCTGAGAACTGGTTATTTTTCTCTGTACATGGAAAGTAAGTACAATGGCAATATGTGACAGATAACGGGAATCATAAATATCTTGGTAGCAAAACAAAACGTGTCAAAGCACGAGGGAATAGGTTAAACTAAAAATAAAAGTTAGACCCTTCTTTTACGAGACGAATATGCCAATAAAAAAATTCTCATCTAGTTTCAATAGCAATGATGGTATATATTTACATTATAGAATTATGTAAAATTAGTCAGAAAGTAAATTATCATAATTGCAAGATTATACATTTCGTTATTTCATTAGTTCATTACGTTAATTGATCATTAAGATTCTCCTTAAATACCAAATAGCCTCATTAAGGTATTTGGTTTTGTTACCTGGCTAATTTTCTCCTTATGAGAAATTTAGACACACAGTTCCTTTTGCCCCTGCACTTTTTTTATTTATGGGAGCCCTCTCCCACTCTAAAGCATGTTAATTTTATAGGACAGAAGACACGAATTTCTGTACCCTCGAAGATCAGTTTACGTTCTGCCTTGAATCCAAGGATCGTTCTATATGTCATGTGGAGCCAAATGTGCGAGTACATCCTAAAATAATAAATATCATTTACTTGAAGATTCTTGTGACAAAATTTAAAAATCTTTGTTACAAAGAGATTGCCAAAGGGAACAAAACCGTAAATATAATAACAGAAAGAATTCAAAATGCGATTTGGAATATAATTTTCAGGAAAACTATATATATCCTTAAATTTTAGGGTAAAAGTGTAATGCAAGCAAATAAGATCAAGGTAGGAATTCATACGAAGAACGAATTCACCGATGTCAAATTTCAGGAATTTTGTTCGGAAGAAAGTTTTAAGATTGTTAAATATCTAAAAATACACGCATATTCGGACACGCACTGTCATGGTAATTTAATTAGTTTAGCGGCAGAAGTTCTAGAAAAATAACTGACAAGCCGCATGCGGCTCTTTAACCAATTGGCCGTCTCTAATCTATAGCTTTATCATGAATAGTTTTAATGAATTTACTGTCATTTTGCATATGTATACATCATCTGCTTGGACATCTTCCAGCTATTCTGTATATATTTGAACCGATCACAGTTTTTGTTTGGAATCAGAGCAGACGTAATATCATGTACGTTTGAATAGCATGTATGTCTGATCAGTTGGATGGGAGATAACCGTTGAGTTAGCATGTATGTTATATTAAAATCGAATTCATAAAACTGAGCGAGTAGATCAGTACACCGAGGCTGAATGGCAGTTTATTTTTTACCTATTAAAAACACTTTAACTGAACAATACTTGAATTTTCCATTTTTTTTTAAAATTTAAAATATGAATAATTTCCCATGTACCACAAAGTATCATTTTGTATTACAAACTATCATTCTGAAATATTATTTATCATTTCATTAAGTTCTCAAGTTTAAGACCATTTTTGAAGACAACAAATGCAATGAAACTAACTTTGCTACCAGGTTTGCTGCCATGAGTACAGCAAGTTACAGGGAAATCATCTGTGATTTTATTGCTAAATTGAATAATATTAACAGCATTTCTTTCTGAGGGATGAGAAAAAATAGACAGAGGCAAAACATAATCATAACCAGAGACAAATAAAGCACATAAATTCTCGCTAAAGGCAAGATTGTGAAGAATTTTGATCTGTTATGCATTTTTAGCCCAAAGAAGCGTGAGCCCAGAAGAGCTATTAGTCTCAAAACGGGATTTCGCGTTGAATCACTATAAAAGTATAACTTTTAAGATTGTTTTCTACATGTTTATATATCATTTTAACGTTCCCTCATCTCATTTAGTCGTTCGAATGGTTTGTACGCTGGAATGTCCAAATTTGTAACAAACTTCGATACAAATATTTTCACATAATTACCGAAATTGTGAATTAATGGGAATACAATTTACGCATAATTTCCAACTGATTACCAGCCAACCAGAGTGGTTGTCCACGCGTGTACACTGTGAAAAAAAAAGAAGACAATTCTATAGCTTCTGTTCTATTCTGCCGATTGAAGAAATTCAAAATGCGTTTTTTATGTGTCGAAATGTCTATGTGTCGAAACTATGTGTCGTTTTTTATGTGTCGAAAGCGGATATATATTAGATTTATATATAGCATTGTTCTAATATAGGTATTTTGGCACAAAATCGGACTTTTCTGAAATGACATACGAATTTTTTTTTTCATATTTCGATTGTATGACTCAAATTATACCAATATATTAAAGTTTGTAAAATTTGGTCTGAAATTTACGGAGAAATTCAAAAATTTATCTTGATGCATTTTTTTTTTTTTTTTTTTTTAGTTTGCGCTAATAATAATTCACTTGGCTAAATTTCTAATTTATAGTAACCTACTTTCGTTTTTTTTTTCATTGATGCACGAGTGGAAAAAAGGCCCATCGTTCATTCTTTCAAATATCTTTAACAAAGTGCGTAAACTACATTTTCGTTATTATAAATACGCCAAATTTCAAAACACGCCAAAATGTAAATTCATGTATATCTTAGGAAATTTAGAATAAAAAATTCTAATTTTTTGCAGGTGTGCCTAGAAATATATCTACTTTAAAATGATGTTAACATTTTTACAGGTTATAATACAAAAAGTTTTTCAAAAAAATATTTAAAAGTATAAGTTTAAAAAATAAATCATAAAAAATGTGCGAATTATATTTGGATTACGCCTAAATTTCGAATTTTGGAAAAAAAAATCAAGTAAGTTTAATAAAAAAAGAGATATTAATAAACATATATCAAATTCAATTAGCAGTGAGAAGCTAAAATGTTGAGAGCTAATGTTTTAAAACTACCCCAAGCGACTTTTACAAAACTTAGCAACTTGGCATAATTTGAGTCGTAGAATCGAAGTATGGAAAACAATTTTCATGAAATTTCGGAAAAGTCCAATTTTATGTCAAAATATCCATATTAGAACAATGCTATATATAAATCTAATACATATCCTAACTCGCGCCTTCGAGACATGAAAAACGCAAGTTGAATTTCGTCAGTCGGCCCAGTAAAACGGAAGATATAGAATAGTTCCTCCCCTCTTTTTTTTTTTCGCAGCGTACATGAAAGCCTACTGTCCGCCTAATTAAGCAAGACCTTACGACCGATTCCAAGACTGATATCCGACCGATTTTAAGTCGCTGGATAATATCTGGACATTAATCATGTTATTTACTTAGTTGTGCTTAAAGTACTGTAATTTAACCCTTAACTAATTTATTTCTCATCGTGTCATTTATTATGTGCAATAAATGCTTAAAATTATACCCATCTCTTTTTAATCATTTTCTAAATTCTTTAACATAAAACATTTTCGTATTTCTAAGTATCAAGATATCTCATTTTTAAAGCGTCAATTCTGCTGTTTTGTTATAGTGAGTAATAATTTATGTATTAATCGAAATAGACTTTATTAGCAATTGCCCCAACTCGAGAATTGTTAAATTAAATAGTAAAGTAACTAGTGTATTTATTTTTTGTCTAGGATCAGATGTCTGAGACATTCTGTATATGTCATTTATAAAGGCATTTCATAAATTAAACAAACTACTAGAATTTAAGAAACCAACAGGCGCAATTCATATAAATATGTTTCTAAAGCTAAGATGCCATATATAATAATTATTGTTAAAATTGTAGTTTTCCTTACCTGTTAGAGTCATAAGAAAGGCATAGGCTTCGCAGAGGAATTCGCCAAAAATCCATTTCCTGTTAACAGCAGACGCAAAGCTCATGGGTGTCCCAAATGCTGAAATTATAAAATCACTGACACTTAGATTAAGTAAGATGCTGTTCATAGGTGTTCTGAGTTTTTTAGTTCCGCCTACTACTATTATAACCAACAGGTTATTGAAGCATCCCAGCAACATGATGAAGAAGAGCACTACAGCAGCTATGCTATACCCAACAGGTGACAAGTCTTCCACGGTAGTTAAATTCATTGAGTTCTTCAAAGGTATCTTTGCAAACTGAGTGCTGTTTACTATCATTGTGGATGGTAAACTACTAAAATTCAAGGGTGATGCGCTAGTAGCAGACATAGTCATGAGAGATTTTATACTTTTATTGGAACAGAATTCGTGTGGCCAGAAGATTATCTAAAGATATATCAAATATTTTTTCCTATTTCAGGTTAGAAAAGATAGTTTTTTTTTCCAAGTTCCGTTCCAAAGAAGGATGTCACTTTTGATATAATGAATAATAATAGACAAGTGGATTCTTTATCTGAGTAAATGAGAAAAATTTGATTTCAAATGTTATCACAGGCAATAATTTCTTGATAAATCTTTCAATTTCCTTAATTAATCATAGTTACTGGTATCACAAAGAGATAGGTTACCAGTCTTATAACATTATTTTCTTAGATTCTAAAGGTAAATTATTCATATGTTTTTTAGATCTGTACACACTGTCTTCTTAAAAGTTTTGAATCAAATAGCCGTTACTATACCAAAACTTTATATTTTATTAGGCTATGTATCTTAAAATGCGTGTCTTGCAGTACCAGTTGAAAAAAAAAAGAAAACATTTAATAAACTTTTTTAATAATCGTCTAAATGCAAATTCTGCTTTATGCCGGCTGTTTCTATAAAACAAACAAAGCATACTACAAATTTATTATATAAATAAAAAACCCCGTACTAAAAGTCTGTTACCTTATAAGCGAAACATGCAAATCAGGGTGAAATTAAATATTTTTCTTAAGAGATTTTTTTAAATATACGTTATATTAAAATATCTTAAATATATTATTTTTTTAAAAACGCTATTCAAATTTTGTTATTTCTTTTATAGACAGTTTTTATAAATGAAGGCTAAGATACGCATTGTAGTACGAACTTAAAATGCAAATATTACCACTTTTTACAGAATTATCTTAATATTCTTTCATTATATAAAAACTTCTTCTATGCAAAATTTTCTGAATATCATTTGTTTTCATTTGACTCTTTGCAAGCAAACAGATAATCTTCAATGAACTTAGTACAATTTCATTTGTTTAATATTTAAATTATATATTTTAAAGTCACTTACCTACTTTATTTGCGATTAATTTTGCGAAATCTAACTTCATTCGACATCTATTTCACACGTTTTACAATAATTTGAATCTGAGGTTTCTTTAGTAAAGCTTGAGTGATGTAAATTTCAGTTTAATGTCCATACACATTGTTTTGGAGCTCTGAGTCTTTTCAAAACTCTCCTCCTTAAACCATATTTATGTTCATGGCAGTACAGTGTAAGCTCGACGTACAGTACATTTGTTCATATTATAAAAATCAGATATTTATAAGTTTACCAAGCTTTGTGATACTGTCAGTCCTTTTGTGTTACGTGTAGATCTTTTAAATCTCTAATAATCTCTTCAAGTTCTTAAACTAAAAAATTATATTCCTTCTAATAATTTAATTAACCTTAACTTCAACTAATTTTATAACATTTATGTATTCTTTAAAATAAAAGAATTCGCTTTCAAAAATGATATCGATTGCGAAACTAAAGTGAACGCTGGCATAAATTCACTCTAAACTTCACAAGAGTTAAAGATTAAGTCGGCAAATACGATTGGAAATAACTTTTATATTTACTCAACCGAATGCAGCAGTCAACACGGAACGAAGGTTCCGTCACATGTGTCTTACGGTTAAGATTCATCGTACACGTAAGCTCCAGCAACTCGCTGGAGAATCTGATGGAATCGCTGTTCATCGCGTGCATTTATATACCTCTTTACGTCGTCCGAGCTCCAAAAAAAATGGACAACTCCGAAACCAAAGCTGCGACTGCGCGTTTTCAGATAGCCATGCGCTGTAACATAAAGCGCTTGCTTTGGAAAGGCAGGTTCATTTCAACCTGGAATATTCAGTTATACATTCATGTAAGTTATCTTTTACCAATTTAAAAGCAAAAAATTTATCATTACGACTTTTATTGGTGTTCCCTTTACCCTCTGCAGTGTGAAAACTTTTTCCATTTGTTAATGCAATCACTGAAATCAATCTCAATCAAGATTCAAATATCTAGACGAGTATATTCACTACGTCCGTATGTTTACCACTATTCATGCTCACATTTGTCGAGCATATTACTTACTGATATCTACGCTTGCTGTTGCAAAAGATCTGTATGCGAATCATTGTATATTTACAAAACATTGATTTACTTCTATCTCGTTATTTCATATTCTTCTTACTATTTTTCCTATGAACAAGTTCGGTTTATTTGGCTTGTTTTAAATCCAATCACCCTTTATATGGATTTATAGCAGGCTGGATTTGCATATGTTGCGAATAGTAAAAAAATTTAAACTCTGCTTTCCTAAAATAATTTTTTTAATGTATTTTATATTTACATTTTGTGCATTTAATTTTACAAGCACCATATTTTTTTACTGAATTCAGTATTTTTAACTTTCCTAATTTTTACTTTACTTTAATTTTATTTAAAAATTTATGTAGCAAATGCGTGTTATTTTTTACCAATAAATGCTGAAAATGTACCAAAAATAATTCGGCACTTTTTTAATTTCTCCAGGTGAAAGACATATAGCATCTTTATTAGGTAAGTATAAATATAACATTTTTTTAATGCAATGGTTAAGAACGTTTCTTTAATTTTTTTTTTCCTGTGTCATGAACAAATATGTGATATAGCCCTAATATACAATTCTCTTAAGTGTCTAAACGAATATTGTGACTATATTGTAGAATTCTGAAGCTGTTTTAAACGTATCGAAATATGTTTTCATAAATTAGTTTTATTACGTTAATACTATCTTTTAGTATCATTTTAAGCAATATTATAATTTGAAATATTAAAAATGATTTACTTTAAAATGCAGAGATAAATATTTCTATCGTTCATAGCAACTCATTTAACTATAAATAGGTAAAATAATTAAATTTAATTAAAAAATAAAGATTTTTTTGAATAAAATGTTTAATTCTACTTCTGGAGTTCAGAAAATTCTTATTGCTTTAAGTTATACGGCTGTGCTTTTTTTTTTCTTTTATATAGATTTTTGATGTCTGTTTGTTAGCATGAAATTTTCAGCAGGGGATCCAACGTGAATTTTGTCCTTTACGAGGTGTTAAATTTCAAGTACATTGAGAATGTAGAAACATTGTCGCATGTAGACAATGAGTCCCTTCTTATGATGAGCACCACCCCTATCAGACGGCTATCTTTCCAGCTGACCAATATTTTTAGAACTTAAATAAATATCTTTATTCAACATTACCTAAGAAAATCATTTCGATTTCTGAAGAGCTAAGAGCTTTTTCGTTCTTCACGAAATTATACATTTACTTTCACAACTTCATTAATCGAATTTTAGAATGAATATTAATAAAAAAAGCATACCTGAAATGTGTACTTGAAGTGAACGTGATGGAAGGTTTAAAAAAAGCTTCAATTAAGAAGTTAAGAAGCGAATGCAGTGCACGAACAATGCAGGTTTTGTTCATTCTTTCTTTAAAATGAAAGGGATGAAGAAAAATACTGACTATACTTTGTGTAGCCTTTAATTCACATGATTACAGATATATATCGTTACGAAATGCCCAGTTGCGGTAAGATAGCTTACCTGCAAAGAGGAGTTAGGTTTGCCAGAAAGTGATAAAGAAAGGCAGAGATGCCAGATTTGGCGAGAAATCGCCCATTTGGAGACATTTGGCAACAATACTGGCAATATGCCATAAACAGAGCGAGAACATTTTAGAACACATTTTCAGCAGTTTCCTCGAGAATGTTCTTGAGGTAGGTTAAAGTTATATATGTACACCCTGCCTGTACGCGGAGAGGAGAATATCTTGAGTTCAATAGTAGTGTCTTGAGTTTAGATAATAGCTCGAGAGCGATCGACCGAGTCGGCAGCTGTACTTTAATGCTTTTCCGTGAAGCTGTCTTTACCGTTACAGCTTGAAGTCTGTGTTGCTGATAGATTCAGCGTCTTTATCGTAGTTTTTCGACGACTCTAAACGTGTCTTCGAAACTCCCCTGGGTAATACTGGCGATTAAATTGTGATTTGATTATTCATCAACTGTTGTCATCAGTCACTCCAAATCCACGAACCCGCAGAAGGAAACAACTGATGTCAGAAAGTGGAATTCGAACCCACGCTCACATTCGTGGACCAGAGAATGCAACAATAGTCTGCCATATCAGATTTAAAAGGATTTGCAAACGGTTCAGTGTTTAACTATTTAGCCCTTGAATAGTTTTATTTGAAGCATTAAGAAAAGAATAATTAATAGTTTTTATTTGTTCACCTATCGTTTATTTTTGACACTTTAATTATGTTTCCCATTTGAATCAAATTTGTCAAATACTTTTCCTGCCTTAATAATATAAATGATATCAAATATTAACTCGTTCTTCGTCCCGAATGCCTAATTGCACTTTTAATTCCCTGCACAATTTTTTCCTAGGGTAGGATAATCTTTTTTTAATTCTTAAAAAATTTTAATAATTTCATATATATATATATGCATGCATATACATATACTTAGGGTATAAAAATAATTATGGAAATTTATTGACAAAACAAATTTGACTATTTAATGTATATGTGTATGTTTAATTATTCATGCTTACCCATGTACCCACAAACTTACATAATCTCCAGATGGTACTATCATAGGGTGCGGCATGTGTTTGACTAAGCTTTCACAGACGCCAAAACGCGTAGCAGGTGCATCAATGAAAAGTACCTGTAATTTAACTTTAACAATTGTTTTAATTAAATTCAAAAACAAAATTCAATTTACTGCCCACAAGTTCACGTTTTCAATGTGTTCTAAAGTCTAACGTTTTTAAGAACATTTCAGTTTCAGTTTTTCATGTTACAGAATACTTTTCATTTTTACATTTTGCTAAACTGATCTTCGCTATGTAAAAGAATGACTTGCTACCTAGCACTTTCGCAAAAATTATGTATAAGAATTTAAATTTCGTATTACTCTGCTAAAATCTATAAAAGTTGCAAACGAGGTATAATGCGGAATACTATCTTAATTTATTACTTTCTTAAATGACAATGAGTTCAAGATATAAATTGTTGAGCCAACCCTTTCAAGCCATCTTACTTCAACAGTAGTATACTATAGATAACTAAACTGAAATTAAATTTCTCGCTGTAAAATAAAATGTTACTTTGTAAAGTAGGTATTTTTTGGAAACAAGAGAATTGAAAAATTAGCAACGTTTTCTCAGGCACTCGAACCACGGACCTCTGGAATACACGCTCAGCGTGCAGACCACCACACCACGAAGACATGCCGAGAAGGCGGAAGAAATACCTTATAACTACGAGATAT